GAAACAAACAAAAAAAAAAAGGGCAAATTAAAAAAAAAAAACATTTTTGTCAGCAGCTGTTGAGAGTAGAGGTTTGACAGCTGGAGAGCTTTTTGACAGAAATGTTTATGTTGTCTTTAGGCCGGTGAAATATGCAGGTTAGGCAGGTTTGAAAACCCACTGCATCGCATACAGGTGAGTTGACCACAAAGAGATCAGTCAAAACACAGGATTTATGGATTTTCATTTAATCTACCTGAGGGCAAAACATGCTGGAGTTTGTATGTTTTTCACTGCCCTAAACAAAGACTGCTGTGATCATCATAGTTAATTCAAACAATATGTGAAACACTAACTAGACAAATCTTAAAAGATATTGTGCATTTAAAATAAAATAGATTTCTCCACAACTACAATGTCTTAAAAACCTTCCAAGTTAAAATCAGTGCACTCAATGGCAGAAACAGGCAGATATGTCAGACATCCTGCTGCACAGCATGCCAGGGGTTGCGTAAAAAAAAAAAGAAATTAAACTTATCATTAGCAAATAACAGCCATTCTTGATTATGAGAGAAAAGACATAAAAGTGGTCTCTGAATAGAGCCTTTCAGAGCAGCCTTTGGGAGGATATAATCAAATGTTGATTCAGTCATTGGTGGGGGATAATTAGGCCCCTCTCCATATGGAAGGAGCTCGCCACGCTGCGACAGGAGGGATCCATCCAGACAGGGTTGGGTGCACTGATAGCCACTTATGACCTTCTTTCAGCCGCTGTGAGAACCTGATGAGCCAGTTGTCTGCCTTGTGCTCCAACCCCTTCCTATGCACACACACACACACACACACACACACACACGTCTTGTAGCCAGGTAATTGCCGTGTTCAGTGCTGGTGAGGAAAAGATGTGATTAAAATTCAGTAATGTCATCTATTTTTCCTCTCAATCACACCCATTGTCTGGTTAGTTTCTCTGCTTAGTGACGCAAAGCAACAACACAGTCGCCTCAAATGGGAGTTATCAAGTTCAGGGTTTAAATAAGAGCAAATTAACAGATTGACAGTGGTGTGTTCTCGAGGGACCTCAGAGTGACGGCCACACTCGACAGGTTTCAAGAAGAGAACTCACTGTCAGAAGAAGAGGAACATGACAAAAAACTGAGGCTGATGTTGGGTTCATAAATAAAACTTTACATTTTATTTCAAGCACAGGCTCAGTCTTACAGTGACCATTTTACTTGTTTTTTTCACTTAAATCAAAAACAAGAACAGTATGGCAGTGATACATGTACATCTGCTCATGCAATGAATCAAGACAGTTTCATTGTTTTATGATATATGTAAAGAATTTAATTGATAAAATAATTGTAATTTGCAGTCCTACACATATACAGTACAGTATATGCTGAAGCACACAGATAGAGCCTAATATAAGATGAGATTCAATTGATATGTAATTATATATATATATAAAAGATATTTTGCTATGATTTAACATCAATTTATTATTTTAATTTCAGAGTAGAAGAGGACAATATGGATACAACCCTGTATCTGTGCTTTGTCTCTCTATAGTATATTGAGATTGCATTACACTTCTCAAAATAAAATAAAAAAATAAAATGAAATCTTTTTCAGAAGGGAATCTCTGGTTTTGGCTACAGGTACCTGACAAAAAATAAAAAGAACTGAACATCGACACAAAGTAGTGGCCTCCAAAAACCCAAATCACTTGAACCCTGGTATAAACACATCCCAGAGCTGTGCCTCCAATCTAGCGTTCCTGATCAAAAGCAGTGGAGCTTGGGGAGGAAAAAGGGGGACAAGGGGGCCGGTGTATAAATAGCTTTGGTTTCCAGTTGCATAGCAACCGATGCCATCTTGCCGAGGTGTAACGCCCCTCACCACGCCCCTTGTCCTGACTGTTCTGTTCCATTTTCCTCCCTCTGCAGTCTGCCTCACCATCAAATACAGCCTTGCAGATCTGAGTGTGTCCCTGTGTGTGATTTAAAGAGGTGGCCTGCCCATCAGACAGCCTGCGTGATGTGTTCGAGGCATGGTTTGCATTTTTCACAAGAAATTAAGAGGTGTGGTAGGTACAAGTTGGACTATGTGTGAGTGAGCTTCTATCTATCTATCATGGTGGTGCTTTGGTGAATCATCAGTGTCAGGCAGCAGAGTGGGAAATGTTTTACAAATGCTGCCTGTCAGGAGGGAGGAGACCATCCCCCGGAGATTTCAATCACCCCCAAACCCACCCTACCCCGACTCCCTCCATCCTTCCATCTCGCCTTCAGCAGAGGTGCTAATGAGCCCAGAAGAGGTGGGGGGAGTGCTGGGAGGGCAAGACAGTGCAAATGAGGTGATCAAGTCATGCTATGTGTGTGTGGGTTTGGACCATCCATCACGTATGAGTGAGGGAATGCTGCATGTTGGATTCAGTGATCCACTGTCACAGTGGTGCGCGTGGCAGGACGTGACACAACGGGAGTGTGTAGTAACTTGCTTGCAGACACGGCTTGGCCTCGCAGCCTGAGTAGGGTTGGACTCAGGCGCTTTCATGATGCCCAGTTTATTCTAATTAATTCTAGTGTTAGGGTGCATATGCACAGACACAGTGCCAGTACACACACTTGCCTTGTGCCAGCTAGCTATAAGAAAGAAACCTTTCAGGCTCCCAGTACACAGCCACGCCAAACACAGCAGTCACTTCTGGAAACGTCTTGCCACACACGCACACACATGCACACATCCCTGCTCTGAGCTGCAGGCTGTTAGCCTCTGTGTGAGAGAAAGCCAGAGAGGACCTGAGGGTGCTACCTGAAGCATTTAACTGTAGTATGTTTTTTTACACTTAATTATGCAGAAAATAAATTAACAAATGTTGCAGTTTGTATTGTGTGTTCCCATATATATATATATATTATATACATACACACATACATACACACACATGCAGTGCCTTGCAAAAGTATTCATACCTCTTGAACCTTTCCACATTTTGTCACATTACAAACACAAACTTAAATGTATTTTATTGGGAAATCCCTAAATAAAATCCAGTGCAACCAACCGCCTTCAGAAGTCACCTAATTAGTAAATAGAGTCCACCTGTGTGTAATTCAATCTCAGTATAAATACAGCTGTTCTGTGAAGGCCTCAGAGGTTTGTTAGAGAACATTGGTGAACAAACAGCATCGTGAAGACTAAGGAACACATTAGACAGATCAGGGATAAAGTTGTGGAGATGTTTAGAGTAGGATTAGGTTATAAAAACATATCCCAAGCTTTCAACATCTCATGGCACACTGTTCAATCCATCACCCAAAAATGGAAAGCGTATGGCACAACTGCAAACCTACCAAGACATGGCCGTCCACCCAAACT